CAGGTGGGTGACATCTTCAGGAAAGACCTTGTTTGCGGGCATGGCTTTCCCTTGGAGGATGCAGAGGTCCCTCTGTTTCCTAAACCAGGCCAATTCGGAAGGAATTAGAATCATGCCTGCTCCTACCCAGAGTGTCCCGCGCAGGCCGGGGTCTCGGGAGGGCTCGGACCTGAGCTTAAACAGTCTCAGTGTATGCACAAAACCAACAGCGACAACTTCAGATTCAAGAGCCTGGTCCTCTGCTCCCAAGAGCCTGGTTTGCCCCCCTCCCCTGCCTGGCTGTCGACCGAGCCAGAAGCGTGGGCGGAACTGGTTGTTCCACGCAGCTTGTGCCCACCTGGGTGGGAGAAACGCCTTGCGACCCTGGGTTCCCTGAGTGATGAAAGGGCAGACACTACTCTGCCCTGTCAACCATTCCCCTCCCATCACAGGCCCCTTCTGCCTGGACTTCCAAAGCTGTGTTGTTGCAGGTAATTAAAGGGTTTTAATTAAATTAGGATCCCATCTGGCTGGGATCAGTCAGGCCCTTAACGAGGATTGTGTGTCACCAACATCAGAATGTGGATGGGGACTCAGACGTGTGGGGGCTGATTTGGGGACTGGAGGCCTTTCAGACAGGGGTAGAGAATCCTTCTTGGCCTCTCAGGGGCTCCCTGCAATGCAGAAGCAACTTGTTCCACCTCCAAAAATGGAGGCCGTGTGCCTTGATGCCAGAGGAGGGGAGGAAGACTGGAGCTTTCCCAAGTTCGTTCTTGTCTGTGAGTCTATAAAACCTCTCTGAAGTGTAACGAGATATGTGAGCATTATCTCATTTCTACAAATGAGGAAACTGAGGCCCATAGAAGTGAAGTGCTCAAACTCATCTATGGAATCAGGTAGAGCCAGATGTAACTGAAAGAAACGGAGGTTGAATGAAATAGAAATTGGATGGAAATAAGATAGAAATTTGATTTTTCTCTCACATAAAAGTCTGGAGGTTGGCAGCCTAGGGCTGGTATGATATTTCTATTCCACAAAATTTTCAGGGACTGAGACTTCTTCCAACTTGTTGCTTTGTTACTTCTATGGTGTAGCTCTCATCCCTCATGGTCTAAGATGGCAGCTAGAGCTCCAGCAATCACATACATATTCCAGGCAGCAGGATGGCGGTTGGAACGAAGAAGAAGAGGCAAAGAATGTATATTAACTGTTTTAACATTTCTGGAAGTTGACAAATATCCCTTTGTTTTACATGTCACTGGCTAGATCTTAGATGCAGGGAGGCAGAGAAATGTAGGGTTTACTTCAGGCAGCCATGTGCCCAGCTAAAAACTGAGAATTCCATTACAATGGAGAAAGGGGAAATGGAGATTATGGGACTATTAGCGGTCTCTGCCACATGCATTATGGGGCAGAACCAAGACAGGAACCCAGGTCTCCTTCCTCCAGCCTGCGGCCCTTTCATCTCTCCGCACCAGGAGCAAGGCTGAAGTCAACACACCCATCTCCAGAAACAAGGAGGAGGAAGTAACATTCGTGGCTCAACTCATTTGATTTTCCTAACAATGCTCCAAGGGAGGCAGATCCTTAGTTTTTCACATAAGGAGGCTCTGGGAGATCGTGTCACTTGTCCAAGGCCCCCAGCTAATAAATTACAGACCAGGGCTGGGACCCAGAACTACCTTCCTGTAACATTCACGCTGCCAGCTCACTGGCAGTCTCTGTGGTTCAGGAGGCGCCAGCTTGTTCCTGGGACCGTCTGGCCAGGTGGCCCTGAGATGATGGACTGGCAGACTTTGAACTGGGCATCCTTCACTTGGATTATCACCAGATCGGCCTTTGAGCTTGGCAGACCAACAGGAAACAGGGTCCCCGGTGGAACCAGAATCCAGCTCCCAGCTACTGAGTGCCAGGTTTCCTTTGGCATTTGTGTCTTGGTGATGGGGGCAGCTGCCACTCCAGGACTTTGGCATAATCGGCAGGTGCCACCCCACTCGATCTTGCCTCCACCTGGTGGGGCTGGTGGTGCCTCTCCTCGCCCCTCATCCCAGCCCCCGGTTCTCCTGGCTATACCCCAGGACTCAAAGTCTTCAGAAGTAACATTTCTCTTTCCCACTCCCAGCCATGACATTGGATCACTTCTGCCACAGGTCAACTGGTTCTTTGTATCTCCTACAACCCCCTACACATACCCACTGGATAATTCAGGTCCCTGGTCACCCTATGACCTTCAGCTGTCTCCACCCCATCCACACCCTTCCCCCAGCTTCCCTACCCACCCACCACCTCGTGCATCTCTGAGCAATGGGCCTCGCCACGGGAGTCTGCCACATGCAAGGTCATCAGCATTCCTGCCAAGGATGGGGAAGGGGGTGACTCAGTTCCCGATTGCTCATCCCAGGGAAGAAGTATGAGGGAGGAGGGAGGAGGGACCCAGACACCCATTTGCTTTTGCCTTAAGCTTCATCAAGAGGAAGACTCAGCCTTGTTGACCTAACATGTGTGCCCTCTTATTAGCTTCACAGACTGCTGGGGAGATTCCCCCCATTAGACATGGGAATGCTGAGGTCCAGATAGCACCTGTGCACAAAGCTGAAGGGCAGAGGCAGCTGTTCCGATGCTTAGAAAAGAACAAGCTTTCCCGGTGTCATAGTGCAGTTCTTGGCCTCAGGGAGACTCCAGTCTGATGGGGGAGATACAGACCCTGGCCCAGGGGATCTCCAGTCTGATGGAGAGATACCAGACTGTGTCCTTAAAGAGCCCCCAGTCTGCTAGGCTTGTCCCAGAGGCTCCACTTGCATGGAGAGGACAAGGCCCCTGCCCCAGGGCAGCTCCCCAGCAGGGCTGAGCTGACAGGGGAGGAGGACCATGGGCCAGCACCACTGAGGGGCAGTGGTGGGGGAGGCCAAAGGGTGGGGCGAGGGTGGACCTAGAGCTTCTCTCTGGGAGAGGAGACAGGCTCCTTCCCGAGGAATCTGCTCTCCTGGGAGTGTTCAGATGGCAAGAGTGGGAGGTCCGAGCACTTGGCAGTGACTGGGGGTCCATCCCCCGGGGGATGCCCTAGACGTTGCTCACCAAGGGGGAAGAGGTCAGTCGATAGCCAGAGGCAGTTGATAGACCCCTTACACTTGTGAGGAGCAAGGGGCACAGGAAGTATCTGTGCAAGAGGAGTAGGGCCCAGAGGGCTATTCCAGAAGAATTATGATTTGGGAGGAAATCTGTTAGCAAGATCCTAGCTGCAAAGGGCAGCCAGGTTACTGGGCAAGACAGAAGAGGAGGGTTGAGGCAGCGGAGTGTGCACGTGGGCGAGATGAAGTTATTAAAATGAACCCACCCCCTGCGCAGGCAGAACTGCATGCCAGGCAGGCCAGCCCTCCAGCTGTCGGCAGCATCTGGCTCTCCACAGGAGGAGAGGAGCCAGAGGCGGTGGGTCGGAGTGCCCCCAAGTCTGCTGATAGTTCCGCCAGGCCAGACGGAGGAGGGGCCCAGAGCCACCACCAGCCCCCTCTTCCTCCAGCGCCCACAGGGCTGTGGGAGGTGCTCCTGGTTGGTGTCCAGTGGGTGTCTGCAGGTGGGACAATGCACCAGATTCCAGCAACCCCAGTCCCATGGCAGGTCCCAAGCCCCTGGCTATCTCCAAACTAAGCACTCGTCCCCAGAGTGGGAAGGGAGAGAGTGGCAGGGAGGAGTGTTGGCATGGGGGCGGGGGTCTCAAATCTCTGCTCAGGAGAGGTGGCCCCAGGAAGCACGGTGCAGGGGACAGAAGCTGGAATAGCAGTGTGAGCTGAAGTCACATGCCCTTTCTGGGTCACTTCATACAACGTGGGCCTGCACCGAGTGGCTTCTAAGGCCTGGCCCAGCTCTGCTTTGCACTGTGAGGGGCACTGGTCCGTGCCGAGTCCTGGGGGCAGGGGAGACAGGCTGGGGGGGCAGACCATCTTCTCCTCATGCTAGGACTCTCTTCACTGTGGCTACATGGCCAAAGGGGACCCAGGGACCTGAGTGCTGCCCTCTCAGAGCAGACCTGGAATGACCTCCAGAGAGGGCGCTGTGGTCTTAGTAGTGGGGCCCCAACCTTCCCCTCATGAGCCCTGAAGGGCCCAACAACTCCCAGACGAGGTGCCACCAGCAGCCAACTGTTCCGAGGCCCTCCTATTGGCTGGGGCAGGGAATGGCTACTTTCAACCCCACTTCTGTCCCCACCCCACCCTCGCCTGTTCCCCCACTAGCATGTCATCAGATTGAAAACTCGACACCCCTGATTGTCTGCTGGGATCCTTCCCAGGAGACCTCCCCAGGAGAAGCAGATGGAAATCAGGATCGGGAGAGAGCATCAGAGGGGTCTCCTCATCCCGGGGAGCCAGAGCCAGAGACTAACTTAGAGGTCATTTGAGCAGTCCCCAAAGTGTGGTCCCTGGCTCAGGACCATCAGCGTCTACCTGGGCATGTGCTAGAAAGACAAATTCTTTAGGCCTCACCCCAAACCTACTGAGTTAGAAACTATGGGGTGGGACCCAGAAATCTGTGTGTCAATGAACCCTGTTGGTAATTCAGATGCCCACTCACATTTGAGAACCTCTGGGCTGGGTGAGCTCCTCGTTTTATACAGAAAAAGGAACAGAAAGAGACCCAGAGAGGAGAATGGACTTGCCCAAGACCACAGAGCAAAATACTGACAGAGCTAGGACCCCCGCTAGGCCCACCCAGATGGCAATCCAGGGAGGCAACAAGGAACACCCTTATGTGACCCATCCCACCTACCAGCTCTTCCTCCTGAGCTGCTTTGCAGATGCCAGCCCCACCTCCTGCCAGCACCAAGTGCTGTGTTCATTCAGCTTTCCCCATAGCTTGGAAAGGGGGCCGGAGACGGAAGCCCTGAAGCCTTTGGTGAGCACCAGCTCCGACAGCTGCTGGAGCCCTGCAGCTCTGGTCTCCAGGAAATGTCTTGTCGCCATCTGAGAAATGCTGGCTGGACCATGGGGTACCCGGGGCCGTTCCCCCCTGGACAACTCGGAATCCAATGCCTCAGGAAAGCTTTATTTCCTGCTCCAGGAACAAGATTCCGCACACAGAAGTTGACAATCAGGTGATTTCACAAGACTTCCCTCCCCTCCCCCCCATGGACAGACACTATGGAACAGGTCCAGCACACGCTCCACAGTCCAGCCCCAAGCTGCTGATGGCCCCATGGGCCAAGAGGGGAGGTACCATCTCCATCTGGGTGAGCCCCAGTCTGACAGGCAAGGCTGGCTATTGAAGGATTGCTCGCTGGACAAGGACACTCCCAAGGAGCCAGCAGGGGTGGGGTGGAGGAGGGACACACAGTGCACGGGTGGGCTTCCACCTGTGGCCTTGGTGCTGGGAGAACCACGATCGCCCTCTGTCTCAGGTTAAGGATGGGCGTCCCGTCAGCACGAGGGTGGGTAGGGGTGGGGAGCAATGGAAGGAGAGGGGATTTTGGAAAGGGGTGGCCTGGCTGGGGGCAGATGGTCTATTTGTCAAGACATCAGACTCCAAAGGTCACCACTTCAGCCTCAAGCCGAGCTCAGTCACAGTCCAGGACAAGGGGCTTAGGGCTGCCCACTGGATGGGGCTGGAGAGTTCCTCCTGCCCCGGCCCCCCAGGGCTGGCTCCTAGGAAGCCCCATCTCAGCCATTCTTCATTGCCTACTTGGTGGCCACGCTGATGAAATACCCCTCTCCTTGTTGCTGTCCTTCCTCAGGATGGCAGGGAGGGAGCCAAGGTTTTAGGACCCTCTCCATGACTTTATTGGGGCCCCACTGGTTTGCCTGCCCCAGGGGCATCCTGGACCCAACATCCGCCTGTTGCTCGGTGGGGAACCCTGTGAGGCTGCGCTGAGAACTCACTCCTCCCCTCCTCCACTTCTCCTGTGTCCTAGCAGCTCAACAACCTCAGGTTGGGGCCAGCATGTGGGACCCCTTCCCCGCCACTTGAGACTTGGCCCTGGCACCACGTGGCATCTCCTCCTCTCCACCCCCATCCCTGCCTGAGGCTCATCCCCTTCCCTGCCCAGTGTCCAGACAGATGGCCTCCTTCGTGGGCAGACCTGTCCTTCCAGCCCTGGCCTGGCCTCTGTGGCCTTCCCAGGGTCACCCAGAGGGGTAGTAGGGGGTATCACTGTGGTAGTTGTAATCTGGGCACACCTTCTGGACCAGCCTATAGTCTGTGCTGTAGAAGGCGATGTAGACACAGACAACTTTGAAGGGCTGAGAGCAGCTCCAGGTGGCTGAGCTCTGAGCGTGGTCTCGGGAGCAGGTCTTGGCTGGGTCGTGGGTGCAGAGCGAGGTCCGGCGGCCCCGTTCCACCTTCTCCCACTCCATGCGGCAGTTGAAGATTTTGGAGGCCTTGGCTTCGATGTAGATCTGCTGCTCCTGGTGGAACTCTACAGCTTTACTGGGGGGCACGAGGCTGATGGAGATGTTGCCCTGGCCCGTGGCATTGTGCCGGAAGTGGACACTGAAGGTTCCGTTGCCGTGGTCCACGATCTTCCCTGTGACGAGCAGGTTCAGCGCCACCGTCTTGATGTTGGAGTAGAAGTCGCCCCAGCCAAAGATTTTCTTCACCTTGGCCGAGGGTGGGGGGCTGTGGTTTGGGCGGTTGAGGGGCTGCCCAAGGACCCCCCATGCCTCCCCAGGGGGAGCCAGCAGCCCTAGGAGAGTGGAGTTGGCCATGGGGCGGGACCTAGGTGAGATATGGCCCCGCTTCCGAGGCATCCGGGGCCGGGGCTGGCTCTCATGGTCATCATGCTCAGGGTCCTCTGAGCCCGGGGGACCATCATCCTGGCCACAGATGACCTGTGGAGGGAGTTGGGAGGAGAGTGAGAGCCCTGTCCCCAGGGCACCCAGGAGCTCTGGTTCCCCACTTCTCACCACCCACATTGTTTCTCTGCCTGTCCCTTTCACTGACTTCAGACTGAGGGGCCCCTGCACATTGCCCACTTACAGCTGGGAGGCAGATGTGCAATCTGGCTTGTGTTGTGGTCCCATCTCGTGTTTTGACACTCAGGTCACCCCTACTTCTCTCCCCACTGTCCTGCCTCTTGCCAGTATGCAAAGTCTGGAAGGCTGGTTGAGAATTCTCTCTACTGGACCGTGGCACCAGAGATACATGGCCCCTACCCCTAAGGAGTTGTCAGCCTGATCTTGGGAAGGTCCCCATCTGATGGCAGAAAAGCATATCCCTGTGCTGACAGAGCTCCCATCTTACAGGAGAGGTAGAGTCCCTGCCTCTGGGAAAGTCCCAGGCTGATGGGGGAGGCCTGGTCTCTGCCCTCGAAGATCCCCAAGTCAGATAGAAAAGCTCCATCCGTAGGCTGGGAGAGCCCCAGTTTGACAGGAGAGGGACAGCCCCTGCTTTATGGGATTTCCTAGTCTGATGAGTGAGACACCATCCTACTCTAGGATAGTTTCTATTTTCAGAGGCAAAACCAACAGACAATGGAATAAGAAAACGGAACCCAGTGAAATTCTCTCTCCAGCACAAATACAGTTTAGATTTTGGCAGGAGGACTCGGGCGAGACCTGGAGTGAAGGCCAGAGTGTGGGGAGCCAAAGCCTCCCCTGGGAACCATGGATGATGACATGCCAGGACATCACTTGCTCTAGGAGGTAGGAGTTCTGATCATTCCCATTTCACAGATGAGGACACCAGGACTCAAGCTTACATTGCCACAAGGCCAAGTCACACAGGGTCAGCCCTCCCACTCCACCACACATGCCCAGCCTCACAGACCAGAGGTGTCCTTTTCTAGGGGTTTTATCCAAGCCCCAACCCCACCCGGAATCTCCTGGAAAGCTCTGCCGAGGCTCTTGGCCAGCCTTGGCGAGATCAGCTCCGGTGACAGGCGACACCTTGGGAGGCTTCCTGGAGTTGCTGTGAGGAGGGCCAGAGGGACAGGCTGACAGAGCTCAAACACAGGACAGCTCTGGAGGGCATCGGGAGTGGACAAGGTTTCCTGAGGGCAGCTGGCTGGCGTGCGTTTGCTCAGTCTTTGAAGAGAGTACTCAGCCTATGCGTCTGTGTTACCAGCACCAGGGGCACCAGCTCACAGCTGGGCAGCATCTGGATTTGCTGGTGACCCTGGGGTGAAGGTGGAGGATACCTGGGATCTAGAGAGTTCCAAAGAGGTTTGGGGTTTTCATGCCCCCTGTTCTGGCCCTGGCCATGCCCATGGATACATGCAGTGGCCCCGCCTGCCAGGCCCCAAGGGGTAGGGTAGAGGGACAGCCAGGAGGGGAGGCTCCTGGGGGTTTGGTTCAAGGCTGCAGACCTGTGTGTATTTGGTCCTGGGGGTCACAACTGAATGGCTGGAGGATGGGGAGAAGGGCTGCAAGTGGAGAGGCGAGAAGGGAGGGGTTCGTCCATACAGTGGCAAAGGGGATTATTGTTTTGAGGAAAGGGGCAAATCCAGATGTGGGGCTGAGGCTTCTCCTCGACAGGATTGCGGGGGCGGGGCGGGCGCTAGGTCGGAGGGGAATTGAGCCCTGGGCTGGGGTCTGGGGTGGATTCCTGGGCAGCCGGGAAGCCGCGAGCGAGCGCACGGGGAGCGGGCTCTCGGCGCTCCGCTCAGCCGCCGAGCGCCCGGGGCGGGAGCCGCCTGCCCAGGTCCTGTGGGGCTCGGGCTGCGCGCAGTCGGGAGAGGAGAGGAAAACAACAGGCGAGGAGGGAGGGAGCGGGAGGGCCGGCGGGAGCGAGGGACGCAGGGGCCGCCCCCCGCCTGCACCGGCTCCGCGCGCTGGGGGCCCCAGAGCCCGGGGCCCTCCGGGTCTCCGAGGTCAGGGAAAAGCCCACGCCCCTTGACCTGGCAGGTCGTCTGCTCCACAACCCACCCCACTCCCCTTCTGCGCGTCTCGGGGCGCCGGGAAGGGGTCGAATAACCCTTGGCGACCCAGCTGCCGGCCTTTTCCCTAGTGCTGGTCGCACCTCCCGCCACTCCAGCCGAGTGGGTGGGCCAGCCAAGCACCCTCTCCCCGCCCCTATTAACCCTTTCTGTACAGTCTCCGGCCTCGGACCCGCCCTCTCCCCAAGCCTCCAGGCTTCCCCTCCATCCTGGCGATGTGGGGGGGGAAGGGAGAAAGTTTCCGGGCTCGGAAGCTTCCCGCGCTCTCCCGCAATCCTCGGGGCCCCCGCCCCTCCGCGCAGCTCCCCAGACCACTCACCAGATAGAGGCTGCCCTGCACTAGGAACACGAAGCAGCAGCGGGTCAGTTGCATCTTCCTCCTTTGCTCTTGGGCCCCTTTCTCTCCTCTTTTCCTTGTGGGGTCCCAGGCCCCTTCCTCACCCCTGCTCTTTCAGGCGCGCCGTCCCATGCTCCGGTCCCCGGCGACTCGCGGCCCTCCCCTCTGCCAGCCGCCCAGGACCGACCCCGCCCCCTTCGGTCCAGCTGTGCAGCCGCCGCCCCCTCCCCCGGTCCAGCTGCGCGCGGCGCGACCCCCTCTCGAGGTCCCAGATGTGCGCCCCGAGCGCCTCGATGGGCCCCAGCTGCGCGGCGGCTTTGCCGCTCCGCCGATCTGCGCTCGGCGCCCCCCTCGGTTCCAGCGGCGCCGCTCTCGCCCAGATGTGCTGGGGACCCGCGCGCGCGCTCGTCCCTGGTGCTAATTCCCCACACCAGACGGCCCCTCCCGCCCCGTCGCGGCGCGCCCCCTGGCGGACGCCCCTGGCCGCGCCGAGCCCCGGCCGCCGCTCCCCGCGCAGCACCCCGCCAGACTGGAGCGCTTCTGGCGCCCAGGCGGCTCCCGCTTCCTCGTCCCTCCCACCCGCGGCGGCGGCGGCGGCGGCGGCAGGTACAGTGAGCCCAGCCGGTACCTCCGGAGTTAACTCCTCCCCTGCCGGCCCGCAGCCGGGGGACCCAGGACGAAGGGGCAGGATGCGGGGGCGGAGTAACTCTTGGCGAGGAAGGGAGCCGGTGGTGGCCCGGGGATGGGGACACCACCTTTTCTAACCCCTCTGGCGGGGGGCCTGTTTCCCCGTAGCGGGCATCCGCAGCCTTGCCCTCAACCCCAGGAGACCTGGAATTTGTAAGATCATTTTTTCCAAACCTATTCCAACAGCCAAAAAAGAACGTCAATAATGTAGCCTGTCTCCACAGCCCAAAGTCCACTTTGTCTCTGCAAGATTTGCTTCTGTGCTGAGGGAAGTTCTTCTAGGTGTCTAGCCTGTACTCCTTTTGTTGTAATGTCAGTTCTTCTCTTCTACTTTACTCAGAGGGGCTGGGACAACTCCCCCCAGCCCCACCCCCGAATCCAACCACTGTGACAAGAAACTTGACTGGAGCCCTGGGCTGAAAAGGCAGCTAGAGGCCAGGGTGGATTCTGGGTCTGGGGTCGGGGGTGAGCCTCCTGAGAAGCTGGGGAGTGAGGTGGGCAAGCCCTCCCTGCAGCTACACCTCCATCCTTCACTGCTTACCCTCCCTGTGACCCCGGGAGTCACTGAACTGGATTCCTACCCCAGCCGGGTCCCTGGTTCTCTCTGGTCTCTGCAGACCTCCCAGGCAAGGAGGACGAACAAGACTCTGATCTGAGATTCTGAAAGGTGGGGACCCATCCTCCATCCCCTCCACTCGCATCCACATTTCCTTCCTGGAAGGTCGGGGCTCCTTTAGTCCTTAGGAGAAGCAAAGGTCAGGTCCGAACAGCCCTTGGAGGCTGTGAGGGTGAGGAGGCACCCCAGCATTCAGAGTAGCCCCAGCCTGGGCTGGGCCTATGGGGCACGATGGGTGGGCACTCTGCTCTGTGGCCCTTGAGGCCCAGCTCGGTCTCTGGCTGCAGCCCCCAGCACGCACCCAGCCTCCTCCCCCACCATCTGCCAGGCGGGTGCACGGGGAATGCAGATGAATCTTAATATCAGCCTGGGCCAAGTGCGATGAGGGAGACAGATTCTGCAGAACCCAGACAGCATCACAGAACCCCCTGCGTTCCCCAGGCACCCTGGGCGGTACCAGGATACAACAGCCCTTCCCTAGTGGTTGGGGCCGGGGGGAGCATGGGCATGCATGTCTTGTCAAAGACCCCCAAAGCCAGGGAAGGAAGAAACAGATAAATCCTTGTCTGGCCTCTGAGCCTCTGGTCCGGCTGGGAGGAAGAAGCTGTCGGCCTGAGCGTGGGCAGCTGGTTCCAGTGCTCAGCTCGGCAGAAGCGTAGCTGGGCCCACTCCTTGTCCATCTCGAGAAGGTCCTGACCCCAGGAGAGCAGTGTGGCCCAGCAGAAAGACCACAGGTTTTCAGATCAGACAGTCGTGGATTCCACTCCAGGCCTGTGACCTTGGGCAGGTTGCTTTGGTTCTCTGATGCCAGTTTCCTGATCTGTTGTTTCAAGAACTCAATGAGACAAAATGTGCTAACAGCGCAGGCACGATGGCTGCGGGCAGCCGTGGGAGTGCCATAAAGGGAAGTTCTCGAGTTTCTGCTTCCCACACAGTGGCTCTGGCTGCACCTCCTGCCAGGCTTGCCCTCACTGCCCTCGCGGCCATTCTTGGCTCTCACTTCCTTCAAGCTTCCCCTCCGCATTCATCCGTGAACCACTGGCTGAGCCTGTCCTTGGTGCCAGGCACTGGGCCATGGGCTGGGCTACAGAGATGAATAGGACACCGTCCCTGTCCTCAAGCATCTCACTGGCTAGTGTGGAACTGAGACATGGAAATCGATGATTTCCTTTCAGTGTGGTGAGTGGAATAACAGATCCCTGTTATGGATGCACCGAGGACCCTGGGGGCAGGGAGAGTCAGGGATGGCTTACTGGAGGAGGTGATGCTGAAGTTGTGAGGAGGAGTCAGCCAGGCAAGGGCTATTCCTGGCAGGGGGCACTGACTGGTCCAAGGTCTGGAGGCTGGAACGGAAGCTGCTTGCTGTTCCTGGAGCACAGAGGAGAGGAGAGGAAGCCGGAGGAGGCTGGGACCAGCTGATGGAGGGTCTTAGGTGTCGGTGAAGGGGCTAAGACTTGAGAATTCTTTGAAGGGTACTAGTGATTGTAGTCAGATTTGCATTTTAGAATTCTTTTGGAGAATTCACTGGAAAGAGGAGAGACTAGAGGGAGGAAACCAGTTAGGAGATAAATGCAATAGTCTTGGGGGAGAGAGACAGGGAGACGAAAGACATCTTTAGGAGGCAAAATAATCCAGATTTGATTATTCCTGAGATGAGGGAGGAAGGGAAGGGAGACAGGGAGTCAAGTATGATCCTGAGTTTCTGGCTTGGACAAGGCGGGATGCTCACCGAGGTGGGTGCCACAGGTCAGGGAGGAAGGTGGGTTTTGGGGAGAGGGTGGTGGAGTCAGCTTTGGTCATGTCAAGTCTGGGTGCCATTGGCCACCCAAGGGCAGAAGAAAGTCTGGCTTTGGGTGCTGGAGGTGTGAGTGTGCAAGAGGAGCAAGAGGCTTGGACAGGGGAGCCCTGGGCACCCTGGTATTTAAGGGTTGCAGAGGCAGAGCAGCCCCCAAGGGGTCCCGGCAGGCCCCAGCAGCCAGGGCCAAGGAGGCAGGCAGGCTGATCCTGGAAGCGCGGGAGCAGTGGGGCTCGCGCCCTCGAGCGAGCCGAGCACAGCAGCGTACTGTGCACAGGCTGTTTGAAGGTCCCACCCCAGGGAGGCTTAGTCGGTAGATGGGAGCCCAGGACCACACATTTTTGCCCCCATCCCAGGTGATGCTGACGGAAGTGGCCTCTGGATCTCTCTTTGATAAACTCTGATGTGTGAGGAGCATCAGGAAAGAGGGATGAGCAGCCGCTCAAAGGAGCAGAGCGGCCTGGCCAAGTAGAGACTGAACAGTGATCCTTGGCTTTAGCCAAGATTCCTCCAGCAACTGTACCCAACCTTGGTCCCTTGAACTGCTTGCAGGGTGGGAGACAGACCACAGACTCGGTGAACTCTGCACAGCTGTGCTGGAGGCAATCCCAGGCTGCCTGCCGTTCAGGCTCTCCATGTCCCCCCCCCCCCTCCCCCCCACCCCCCCCCCCCACCCCGCACAGGCAGATGCTCAATGAAGGGGACAAACCTCAACGCACTAGTCCCCCCCGCCAGCCCCCAGCCTCCTTGGCGCCCACTCGTGCCCTGGCTGTGGGCTGGCTGGGCGTTTGCTCAGCACCTCTGATCCTCTCACCTGCTTCAGTCTCACCCTTGGAAGGATCCCGCCTGTATCCCTTCCCTCCTCTCTGCCTCCCCGGGGCTGCAGGAAAGAAAACAACGCAGTGGGCACCTGATCAGTGCTTATCGGATGAATGGGAAATGGGGTTCCTGATGGTTTGAAAGACAGAAAGCAGATGCCCTTGAGCCAGCTGGAGTGGAGAGGTCCAGGAGGAGAGGCGGGAGAAGATCATTACTGTTAATAATCTGTCATGTTTACCTGGCAAGTGGCAGTTTTAAAGTGTTATAGAGTGCTGTGTCGAGGGGACTAGGGAAGCCCAGAGGGAAACCCTAATTCAAATGAGGGGACCGAGGGCAAATCCCAGAGAAATTAGTCTTGTGATATGTGGATCAGCCCAGGTGGGAGGGGAAGGAGAGAACCTTCCAGGCGGAGGAAGCAACTCATGCAAAGGCCAGAGATGAAAGCAAGCCTGGAAATGGGGTTCTGAGGAGGACGAGATGAAAGAATCATTTGTTCCACAAATCGTTATTGAGTGAACACTTTTATGTCGGGTCCTGGGCTGGGTGTGGGGGTACAGCTGTGATCAGGAGACGGCGGTCTTTGTGGCACAGAGAATTTGGGCAATGAGGGAGACAGATTAAATAGGTGAGCACACGGAAACACAGCTCTGAGATGTTGGCAAGTGGTGTGAAGGGAGAACAGTGAGTTCCAAGCCCGAGAAACTAAGGAGGGTGCCCCTTGACCCGGAAGGGGCCAGGGAAAACTGAGATGGGACAATTTGGCTGGCATCTGAGGGGTGAGGAGGCCTTGGCCAGCCCCAGTGCTCCGGGAGGGCCCTTCTGGGCAGAGGGAACAGTGCATGCTAAGACTCTGAGAGAGGAAGAGGTTAGTGCTTTGGAGGAGCTGAAGGAATTGAGTGTAGTGAAGGAGGCGAGGGAGAGAGAGCCAGAGAGGTGGGCCCGGGCTAGATGGCCCAGGGCTTTACGGGTTTAGTTAAAGGTTTTGGGTTTCATCCTGTGATTAGGATGTTTTTGTTTTTTAATGACACGTTTTAAGCAGGGGTCAGATTTGCACTTTAGACGGATCACTAGGAGCACACTCTGACAGCAGTGTGGAGGGTAGATTTGAGAGGGTGGGTGAAACCGGAGGCTGGGAGGTGATGGTGGCCTGAATTAGGGCAGAAACCACAGGATGGGCCTTGAAAGACGTTTAAAGGGTAGAATCGAGTGGAGTTAGACTGCAGGACATGGGGTTGAGGACAAAAGATGAC